TCTTTTTTTGATGGTACGTATTGTTAACATCGATTGACTTTTGGATAGCGGATTGGCCTCACCCAATTAAGCGTATTGTGGAAAGTTAGTGTCGATCAAAAACTTCCAGTTCAAAAATAAAAAATCCCAAAATTTTCCAAAATCAAAAATTTCAAAAACTAAAAATCCCAAAAAATTCGAAATTTCAAAAAAAGTCTTCAATTTCCAAAATCTCCTCTTTTTCAATTTTTTTGAAATATCAATTTTCATATTTCTCCCAATGACGAAACCAATCCAACAATTCCAAAAATTCCCTACCAAAACCAAAAAAATAATCTTTCTCAATAAATTCGAATGTATACCAGTTTGACGTTGTTTCATTTCTTCTAATACATTAAGAAGCATTTTCTAGAATTTTCCCATTTTATTTCATTTCATTTGCCGAGCCTTGGAATCCCAAGATTTGACTTATGGAAATCCGATTTCTCATTTGTTTCATTCTTTTTTGTATAGAAAACAACTAAAAAATAGGCTAGACCCGCTCTAAAAACAATAAAAAAGACTTTAACCCTAGGTGGGTTCGAACACCTGACCTGGTGGACGACAGTCAAAAGCGTAACCGAGTAGGGTACAGCGCGCGACGAGAGGGTAGTGGTGGATGGCGTACAAGAGGGCGTGGGAAGCTGGTGGACGGGGAGTGGATTAAGAGGTTGAGATAAAATAAAAATTGTTTAAATTCTCAAAATTTTTTTAAATACTTTCCTTTCCAAAACAAACAATATTTTTTGTACTATCAGTGTCAATATTGTCTGGGTGGCCCAATAAAATGCTTCGAATTTTTTTTGATAAACTCGAAATTTGTCGTTTTCCCCCTAGAAACTTTGTACCCGTTGTTCTATTGGTGTGTCAACTTCGTTTGAAAACAAATTAAGAAATCTGATACGTCTGAAAATATCAGCTGAATAAGTGCAGATCAAAAGTTTTTATATAGGTCATCGTTGTTCGATTTGTTTGAAATTTTTACAGTATATGAAGCAGAAACAGAGCTTTATTTTGGTAGTAGGTCACTTTTGTGTAAAATTAGGACCTGAGGAGATATGCCGCGTGGAAGAGACCTTCCATATTTTGGACATGAAGGTACCCCCCCCCCCTCCTCCCATGCGGAGGAGGCCAAAAAGGAGGGTCCATATCTCCCCAGGGCTTAAGTTTACAAAAAAAAGTTGTCAACTACAAAATTGAAGCTCTACTTTTGTTTAGTTTACTCTGGAATTTTCAGAAAAATTGAAAAATTCTGGACCACCAAAACACTTTCATGTAGAACTTGGCAGATTTTTGGACAAGTTTAGCTAGCAAAGATATGGAGGATTTTCAAAATTCCCGAAACTTTCGCTCACTTCCTGGCCTCAAAACCCACTATACCCCACACACCCCCTCTCCCCATCCATTTTACGTTGCTTTCCATTTCTTCAAGGCTAACCTAGCGCGCCACGGAAAACTGCCACCCATAACAAGCCGACTAATTCGTACTTTGAGGTGCTAGCCTCCACGAAAAGAGGTACATTGTATCATAATGATCCTCGCCTAACTAAAAAAAAGATTCGCGTTTTCGATTTCATCCTTGGCACCGTGCCACCGCCTGGCGCGAGGCGCTTGCCCTTGGAGTGTGTGAGCGCGCGAAATTGAAAAAAAAACTTCTAGTTGGCGTCTGACTCATCGTCTTCCATTTTCGAAGGTTGCCTTCTTATTTTTATAACCGTCCTATCCTGTCGGTGAAATTCGCGCGCGCGCGCACGGGGGGCGCCTTTTTCACCATGGGTGGCCACCGCTTGGGGGTCGTTTTTCGCCCCCTCCCCCCTTCTTCGCCCTTTTTCGAATTTTTTCGACGGAATAGTTAGAAAACGTTGCGGAATGAGGAAAACGTGTAATGACCTACACAGGGAGGTCTTTGAGGGCGAAAACACGAATGGAATGCGACTGACTGGTACGAGGAGGAAATTGGTGTGGGTTTGTGGGTTAAGGAGTTTGAGGTTTCGAAAATGAATACAATTCTTTGCAAAGGAAATTAGGTTTTGTGAATGAGAAAGTGTTTGAAAGTACATTTAGGTGAGAAGAATTGGGAAGCGCCGCCGAGCAACTCGGTCATTAGAACTCCATGGGAACTTTGAGCACGCACACTTTGAGCTCAATTATCTCGGTTACTGTAAGAGCTATGAGAAATTTGTAAACTACAAAAGTATTGCTTACATTATGACAAACATTTCACCAATTGACAGATTTTTGATATCTTTCGCATGAGGCGAGAAAAATGAGCTCAAAGCTGACAGGGCTTACGCCTTACACTAGGGATGCCACCCTAAACACTGCCTTTGAGCTCAATTATCTCACTTTCTGTGAAGGATATCAAAAATCTGCTAATTAACAAAATATTGCTGATATAATAACAAACATTTTACTAGTTGACAAATTTTTGATACCTTTCACAGGAACCGAAATAAATTGGGTCAAAGTTGACCGACCATAAACTTTGAAGCAGTCATCGTAACCTTTGACTTTGAGCTCAATTATCTCAGCTCCTTTGAAATATATCAAAAATTTATTATCTACAAAATTATTGCTCACATTATGACTAACATTTTATCAGTTGACAAAATTTTTATATCTCTAATAGGAATTGAGATAATTGAGCTCATAGTTGACTGCCAGGTTAACACCCTATAAGAGGGGCTACGGTGTGTTTGGCTTGAAAATTTGAAGAATTTTGACTTTCTTTTTTGAGCCAAAATACCTAAATACGACAACCTAAAAAAAGAGTCTTCAACTTTCTTTCCAAAAACTCAAATTTGTAAATCTGCATAAACCCGGAACGGTTCCTTCCAGAAGGATTATCAGGGCTAGGATTATCTAATTACCAGAAATAATTTTGGATTTGAAGAATACGATAAGCTGATAAACAGATTACGATAAGATAGCTCAAACGATGAGCAATACGATGGCAACAACAGCCCAGATGTCCTGGGGGACGCTGTTAAGAGGTGGCAAGCTGGCAAGCGTTAGCGCGACAAATGTTTTGTGGGCGCAATCAGAGAGAGAGAGATGATTAAGCTCTTTCCTTCTTTTTTCTCAAAACATCATGATCATCGGGATCCGGATCCCACCAAAAAAAACCTGGTCATTCAAAAATATGTTTGGCTCCCACACACCGGAAATCTGACAGCATAATCTACTTGACCTAGTGAAAAGAGGAGAGACGTATGTACTAAAAACAATGACGTTAGGAGGGGGGTCTTTGAGGAATGCACCAAAAGTACAGTATCCCGAAAAAGCTGGTAGTGTTTCTATCAGAAACCAAAAAAAAGAAACAAAAATTAGAAATCAAAGAAATACGAAAAGAAAAAGAACCGCAATTCTTCGGACAGCCAACTGCCGATGTTTCCTGCGATTCTTATCTATTACTCCCAAAAAAGGCAAAAAAGGTTTTTTTTTTGGGTCACCTAATCGGCAGGGGAATGCCGTAAACAAGTTTACAAGAACGTCAGCGAAATTTTTTTCCGCTTGTCATTTCACCTGGAGTAAAACGGGCTCCGCCCATTTTGTGCAAAAAATCGCTTATCAGCACGAAAATTTTTACTATCATCACTATTTACATATGGAGAAGTTTCACTTTTTACAATCACTCGTTTTCTTTTCTTTTTTTGTGGTTTCTTGGCCTCTCCGGTTTGGTAGGTCTGAAAACGAGTTGACCTAATAGTTGACCTAAGAAAAGTAAGTCATTGTTAACCGATTTGCCTGAAAATGTGTGAGTATGTAAAACTAAACAAGGGCTTCTTTTTTTTAGTTGAAAACTTTTTTGTAAAATCAGGCACTGAGGAGATATGCCGTTTTTAAAGAACCCTCTTTTTTTGGCAGCAGAACTCCGCCTATATTTGGAGCCCTACGAAAGTAGGTCATCGTAGTCAGAATTGTCTGAAAATTTCAGAGTATATAAAACTAAAACAGAACTTCATTTCTTTAGTTGACAACTTTTTTGTAAAATTAGGCCCTGATGAGGTATGCCGTTTTTAAAGGACCCTCCTTTTTTTGCGGCACCTCGCAAGGGGGGGGGGGGGCGCAAGAAAAAAAAAAGGGGGGGGGGGGGTGCTTTATGACAAAAATGCGTAAGGTCTCTTCCACGTGGAATATCTCAGTTGAATGATTTTGTACAAAAAAGATGTCAACTACAAAATTAAAGCTCTCTTTTTGTTGAGTAGACTCTGAAATTTTTAGCCAAATCGAAAAATTTAGGACCACTTTTTTGGGACTCGAAAAGTAGGGCTCATCTTTCTCCTCCAAAACAAGGGAAGATCCCTTTCACGTCGCATATCTCCTCAGGGCTCAGTTTTACAAAAAAGTTGTTAACCACAAAATTAAAGCTCTATGTTTGTTTAGTATACTCTGAAAGTTTCAGACAAGTCAAAAAATTTTGGACCACTCTTTTGGAACGCCAAAAATGGAACTGAAATTAGGTAAAAATGGAACTGAAATCCGAATATCAGAGACAAAAAAGACCTCAATAGTGCAACATTTTTTGTTTACCTCTATTTCCTTTTCTTCCTTATCTTATCTATAATATGGCCTTTACTTTGTTTTGACTTTGACATATTACCAAAAACCTTTTTTTGGGTCATCAAAACAAAATTAGTTTCTTTCTCCTCTTCTTCTTCTTTTTCTCAGTCACCTTCTTCTTCTTCTCCTTCCTCCCTTTTCCGAAAAAAAATTTTGATGTCATCACACGTTTTCTTTTTTGCCTCCTTAGCCATCATATCCTGCCCGCGGTCCGCGGCGGCGACGGCGGCGAAGAACATCCCCGTCTGCGTCTCTCGTCTCGTTTTCGCGTTCTCTTTTGGCGCCGCCCCCTGCCATCGCGGCGGGGCGGTTCGCCCCGCCCCCCATACACCTGATATCCTTCGGCATCTCCCCCTTCCTTCAGTCATCATTCGAACTCTCAGACTTCGACAGCCGAACACACCTTTCTCCAAGCAATCATGAAGCTCCTGTTCGCCGCCTTCTTCCTATTCTCCCTTCTCTCCTGCACACTAGCACGACCGAACTACAAAGGTAAGTTGATAAAGAGGTCTTACTAGGGGTCGTATGGGAGCCTAGCAGTCTAGTCTAGTCCAGTATTAGTAGCAAGGGGCACATAGGTGTCTAGGATCTAGACCTAGGTGTTCTGAGGCGTGAGGCCCTTAGCCTTATTTAGGTGTGTTAAAGGTCTCTGTGGCTAGAATAAGGTGCGCCTAAAACCTAAAATACCGTTTCTAATCAACTGTATTTTTTCCAGACATCGACTACAGACTATTCCAAGAAGTCGATGATGGAGGCATCGCCATTGACGCTGTCTACGAGGTCGTCGATCCAGAAACCAAACCACACCACCACCACCACCATCACAAGAAGATGGCCAAGAGCAACCGTCTGGACCGTCTGAAGAGATATCTTCGAGGATTCGAGGAGGAATCCAAGAGAAATTTCTAGATGGTTCTAGATTTTTCTCGGGGCTTTTTTTAAGCCACCACCCTTGTTGTCTGCATATACTTGTTCTGCTTCTTCTTCTTCTTCTTCCCAACTTTTTTAAAAACACATTCGGTCTTTCTGCACCCCTGAACTTCCTCGCGGTATCCTGGATCTCACCATTTCCCTCTATTTCTCTCTGTCTCTCTCTCTTTTGCATATTTTTGTTCATCCCAAAAATTGTTTCGGTGTCATCAGAAACCCCTGGATACTTTCATAACCCCCATACTTTAATTATTATATATTTTCCGAACCCTACCCCGTACTAATTTGCTCACTTCAGACCAGAATTTTATCAGATTTCTATTTTAATATTTGGATTTTTATTTATTTTTATTATTTTTTAAATATAATATTTTTCTATACATACAGATCTCCCCATATTTCGAAATAAATTTATAATATATACCAATTTCGTAATTCGACAAAATCAAAAAAAAAAGTACAGTGTGTGACCTTGGAATTACTACTACGGCTACTATAGTAATCACGGTGTCTTCTTCTTCCGGGAACTGATCAGATGATTCTCTTATCATGACATCATCATCACCTCCTTAAGGTGGTCTTCTCGGAGAACAAGAGGGGATGACTCAAAAGTGCAAAGAGCTCAAAATAGGGGTTTTCTAGCCTAGCAGTTCATAATAATAATTGTGATGTGTCTTTGGTCAAAAATAGGACACAACGACAGAGAGGTAATCATCGGATAGGGCGACAGGAGGTTAGTGAACGCGGGAAGACAGAGGTGGAAAGCTGCCAGCACGACACATGGTGGGAGGACGCAACATACAGTATCTTTATCAAGTTTATCAATTTTCAGATGGCCATTTTTAGATAATCACAATATTTTAGGACGCCGATCCATCCACTATAGTACTACCCAAAATTAGCCGTGAAATAGCGCTAACTTTGGAGCCCTACAAAAGTAGTCTAGAATTATTCAATTTGTCTGAAAATTTCAGAGTATACTACAAAAAAACAGAGCTTCAATTTTGTAGTTGACAACTTTTTTGTGAAGTTTGATACTAAGGAGATATACCACCTTAAAGGCACTCTCTTTTTTTTGGCGCCACCACTACGCCTAAATTTGGAGCCTTAGGAAAGTAGGTCAACATTTTTCAATTTGTCTGAAAATTTCAACCTATATGAAACAAAAACAGTGTTTCATTTTTGTAGTTACCAACTTTTTTTGTAAAATTAGGCCCTGAGGAGGTATGCCGTCTTTAAAGGACCCTCCTTTTTTGGCGCCTCGCAAAGGGGGGGGGGGGGGGTGGGTGCTTTATGTCAAAAATGGGTAAGGTCTCTTCCACGTGGCATATCTCCTTAGTATCGAATTTTACAAAAGTGTTGTCAACTACAAAATTAAAGCTCTCTTTTTGTTGAGTAGACTCTGAAATTTTCAGCCAAATCGAAAAAATTTGGACCACTTTTTTGGGACTCGAAAAATAGGGCTCATCTTTCCAAGCAAGTTTATGTCCAAAATTAGTAAGGCCTCTTCCACGTGGCTTATCTCTTTAGGGCTTAGTTTTACAAAAAAGTTGTCAACTATAAAAATGAAGCTCTAGTTTTGTTCAATATACTCTGAAATTTTCAGACAAATTGAAAAATTGTGGACCTGAAAAATTATTTATCTTTTTACGAAACCAAAAACCGACCAAAACAAGCAGTTTTTTGACTGGTACTGTAGATGATTAAGCGATAGCTAAGAAGCTTTCTGACCTCAAAAAAGTTTCATTTTCAGGTCCCAAAACAAAAGACGTGCCAATCAGTGCCTTGCTAGCTTATATGACGGCAATAGGAACACCATGTTAAGTCATGATTAACACGAAGGCTCTGATTTTGGGGAGCGGATTAAAAGCAATCTGATTAGACATAAGCCCCAAAATGGGATTTTTTTATTTTTGGAAGAACATGTAGTTGGCAGCGTTCTGGATACCACTTTAGATAATTAAGGCTTAGGTGACTTTTTGCTCCTGTGGTAAGGATTACTGTGGTGCAAAATTTGTGATTTTAGCTTCTGGTTTTTTTGGTTCGAATATTCAAGGAATTCGCGATTTTTTGGATTTTGGGGAGGGATCCGGATTCCTTCATTCTGACCTCCCACAATGTCACGTACCCCCCCCCCCCACACACACACACACACACACACACACACACACACACACACACACACACACACACACACACACACACCCAACCTCTCCATTCTTGGCACCATGCCAAAAATTGTTTCCTCTTCCCCCGATACCCATTTCTTATCAGTAGGTCAACAACGCCTTGACATAGAAGACAGAACCAGGGAAAGAAATCGTAAAATGTTGCATTTTAGTGATAAGCCCCCCCCCCCCTGAAATTGATGATGATTAGAGTTTTTTGTTTCTTCTCATTGATAGTATGACCGTTTTCGATCACGTTGTGTTATGTATGTGATCTGATCAATCAGCTGGCAGAGGATCAGAGCGAGATCAGAGGGCGAAAGTGATGGATAGGGAAGTAACTAGTTTTCGAAACACACTTGAGACATTTTGGCGGGATATACAGAGATAGATATAGGCAGAGATCAGAAAGTTACAGGATTTGGAGTTTTAGACATTTTATCGAGTAGCTCAGAGTGTTGGACATCCGGACATTGGGACACACCGAAAATCGGAAAACCTTGAATCTGATGTTTCAATTAGATAACTTCCCCTAACCACCCCACGTGGTTCGCACTGGCCTGTTGCCAAGTACCGTAACCCAACCACTTGAATTTTGAATCAGGGGGGAATAAGGGTTTTCAACTACAGACAACGGACACAAACTATGTGTGTTTATAACCGGTTTCAATTATGTTTGAATTTTTGCTATTTAATTTTCGTGTTGTTGTTCGAAAACAAGTACAATTCCATAGTATGTATGTGTCTTAAGAACACGTGAGGCGACCGACGACTTCTGGAGGCACGTGTGGCGTCCCGTACACACACTCGGGGCGCCATGGGAATAATGTCAGAAGAAGAAGACGTCAGCAAGATTTTGGAGCTTCAAATTATATAGGTGGGAGTTATTCTGATTATGGAAAAGAGTATAATTGTAGAAGGGCTTGGAATAATTGTTGCTGATGTTACAGGGAACTAGAATCTAGGGGTTGGTGGGGGGTCGTATGTACTTTGAGCTCAATTATCTCGATTCCTGAAAGAGATATCGAGAAAGGGACAACTAATAAAATATGTGTCGTATTATTTCCTACATTTTACTAGTTTACACCTGATTTGTAAGTTCATCAGCGTCTGAGATAACTTGGCTCAAAGTTAGCTGCTATGACAAACCGAAGTGAAACGCGCGACGGCGCATAACTCGGTTCAAACTCAAAATTTCTTTTTGAATTTTATATTAAATTGTAGAACTCAAGAAGATCTACAAAATAATATTACATTCAAGTATACCAAAACAGCGAGTTTCGAACCAGCCACCGTGAAACAGCCGGGATCAGCAAGCGGCTCCGAATGGGGTACCTCCGACTCAGCTTCTTTATGATTTTTGTTTCTCCAGGAATACAGGCAAATTTAATATCATTTTGTAGATCAAAACAAGTTCTATTTTATACTTTTTGATTCAAATCAAAATTCCAATTTTGAGCCGAGTTATGCTCCAAGGAGTTCAAAGGAACATTCACCCAACGCATCGTGTTCCACTTCTAAAAGTTCAATGTTGTTTTGTTCCGCTCCAAAACCTAATTTCCTCGTTTAACGGCTCGTGACCCACTTTTTCTTTGCAACCCGGTAGTTCCTCTTTTAAATGGCTCGTGGTTTTTGGAGTTTCTGAGATGAGACCGTCGCTCCAGTTGAATTGTTTTGATAGGGTTCAGAGGATGTGATTTTAAGGGGTCTGTGAGTTTGGTCAGGTTTTTGGGGGAGGGAAATGAGCCATTCGGATAGGTTTGGGCGGTTTCAAAAAATGAGGGAATTTTAGACATTTTTTCTAATTTTCAAGGAAAGGGGATAGGAACATTTTTGGGGATTCCAGCCTGAAAAACATGCTAAAGTTTTTACATTTTCTTTTCAACGGGCGTAGCTCGGTGTTTGCATCTTTTTGGGACTACCGTACCCCCCAGTGCTGACGTTGAGCTCAACCGGTAGTGGTATATCTCTCGAGGACCTTCATATCAATGTTTTATATAATTTTGTGACACTTAGTACGACCTACAACTTGCAGTTTTACTCATTTCAAAATTTTGAGTTTGGAGCAACTTATGACCTAGAAACCGTTTTGAGCTTTTCAACAGTTTTTTAGATGGACCCAACTAGTGTTTATACCATACTGTACCTCTTTTTCAGCTTTATAGCTAACATTTTTGATTGGGCCCAAAATGGAGGGTTTGAAGCGTTTTATGAGAAGTTAAAGTTATCAAGACTTCCGTGACACTAGGCCATCTTGTATGCACTTTGAGTTCAAATAAATGAGGTTCAAAGTGAGTTATGAGAGCTTAAAGTTAGTAGAACTTCCATGACACTCGTCTTACATGCAAGCTCAGTTATCTTCGTTCCTATGAAAGATATCAAAAAAGTAAAAACTGATAAAATGTTTGTGATAATGTAGTCAACGTTTTTGTAGCAAACTACTTTTTGGCACCTCTTATAGGAGCTGAGATAAATAGGATCAAAGTGAATGCTCGCCAGCTTCTCAGCTGCCTTCCAGTGGCTCTAACTATCCAAGCTTATCCATAAAACCTATGACTTTTTAGCCATCTAACTTTTAGCTTCTTATCCTGCTTTCAAGGTTCCAAGAAAGCAACATTCTTTAAATTGCATCATAACTATTGCATTCCTTATCTTCCCGCTCTCTTTTCCCGCGCTCACATTTCACAAGGTGGGGGGGGGGCCTTTATTGACCTTTTTTGCATTTCATCGCTATACTCTAATGATGAAAGGGTCCCGCGCTATTATCATCTGAATTAATCAGTTTCGTATATGATAATGGGGGTGTCATCC